CTTTTAAAGGTTTTTTTGCTCTGAATTCACTTTTAAAAATTTAAGTGATATTTAGTTTATGAATTTAGAATCATAATTTATAATTTTAATTTTTAAAATTTAAATTTTTTGTGAGAAAGAAAACATTGTAGCTGAACCAAGAACTAAATTCAGAATCAGACATAACCCTTAAAATAAAAGTCACCTTAACTATATATCACGAGATTTTCTCAACAAAAATAAAATAATATATATCATGAGGTTTCCATAATCTACTATTTATTTTCATACGAGTTTAAAAATGAGTGTATATATAAAGATGAGTTTTTAATGATTACATTTCTATAAATAATTACTATTAAAGTTAAAATTTTAATAACATAACATGATAAAATTTTAATTTCATTAATAATACTTATTAATAAATAAATATTAAAATAACCGTTAAAATCACATATAACATAACAGGCACTCACTCATTTTTGTGCCCATTAATTATATTTATTCTTTCCTTTTTTTTTCACTGGAAGGACGTGGTTAGTAACTCTCACATCCGATGAGTGATGAGTATGACCAATTAATTAAATATGCTAAACACACATGGGAGTAACATGAAGGTGCATTCTTAACCGTCGATCTATGTGAAGAACTATGAATTATGACATTTATCAACATTTTATAATGAGTATTATTTAACTAGTATGAGGCTTTAACATCTCTCAGCTAAAAAAAAAAAAAAAAAAAAGAAAGAAAGAAAGAAAGAAGGAAAGGAAGAAGGAAAGATATGTTTTAACACTCCTCCAAAACCTCACACCGTAGATATTAAGGATCCGTTTAGTTCATTGATTTAAGTTTTTAATTCGAGTTAATATGTGATTTTATGTGAGAACTTTTTACTGTAACAAAAAAATTAGATGTGACTGTTTCTGAGAACTTTTTACTGTAATAGAACTCGAATTCTAAACTCAAATCGGTAAAATGAACGGGGGCCTAAATTGACATGACCATCTACTGATCCAAGCCAGGGGATTAATGCCCTTTACCTGATTCTCTAGATTCCAAGCTTTCTCGTGTACCTATGCTTTTTTCTTTTTGTCAAATAGAAAATCGGGGTCTTTCTTAAATTTGTTTATTTTACCGATTTAAGTTTTTAATTTTAAGTTATATTTAATTTTTTTTATTACAATTAAAAGCTCTCAAAAATGGCATATTTCAACTTAAATGAAAAACTCGAATCCGCAAAGCGAATGAGACCTAAATAAGCTTGTCGGGTTGGTATTTTTGCTTTTGTGAACTTATAAGCACTTGAAAAAATGAATATATTTTCCGTCGTCAAATTGTATTAAAAATTATTTATTTTTTATTTTTTTAAAATTTAATGTGGTTTTAATCTGACTACGGTTAAAAATTAACATTATTGATAAAACTAACCTCCCAAAAAAAACTCCCAACTAAAAACGTACTTTTTGAGTTTTAGGCTTTTAGCTAGATTCCATATTTGCCTCCATATATAATTGCTTATTCGAAAAATATATCTTATATTTTAAACTATGTCAAAAGTACTATTTAGTTGCATAACATTTTTAATTTGAATTTGTGTTTAGAAGTCATTTGAACCTAAAATTACCCCCTTCCCTCCAAAGTTCTTAAGGTTCTAACTCATTTTAATGTTCAAAATTCAACCCAAACGTTTTTACTAATCATTTTCATTCACATTTTTTAAGAAACTCATACTTACAATAATGTAACTAAATGTAGATTCAAACTTTATTCCTGTTTAGACCTTACACTATTCAACGTCAATTTAAACCACAAAAAATTCACGTATAAGTTTAAGTCCAAAAGTTCAAACTCACACCATTCAAAGTTACGAAGCGAACAATATCTTTGTTTATTCTAGGATAGAAATTAAATTTCTCTGCAATTAGTTGATGACCTCAAATATCCGATATTTAGTCAATTAATAGAAAAGTCAGTATTAAGTGATCAATTAATACTACTACGTTAACATTTATTAAAAAAAAAAAAAAAGGAATACTTAAATTTATAGAGTACCGCATTAAACTACATGGCTACACGCATGCATGAAAATTGGGATCACATATTTCAAAAGAAGAAGAAAAAAAAAAAGAAAAAACTATCTTTCTTCGAAGTCCATAAGTCTTCTATATCTAATCTATCGATACAATTTTAAAAATGATGATGATGGTATGGTACTTACTATTTCAATGTTGCTTAGGCATATTTACAAGTGTGTCTCTTGCATGACATAGTCCAGCAACTACGTTACCGATGTGCATTCGTTCTTGTGGCAGTTCCACGGAGCAAGCAACACCGATCCTAAAGATAGAAACCAAGCACTCCTGAGTTATTTCGCGTCGCGTCGTGAAAGCGCGTTTTGTCCGACGTATTTTCTTCATCATGATCTCCTTGAAGAAGAATTTTGGGATCCAGTATTTCTTCTACATGTTGAGGCAAAGCAAGTGAAACAAAGTTATGCAGGTTCATGTCATCTTTAAACATGTCATCCGTAGGCTTCTTGCCGGTAAACATCTCCAACAAAAGAATTCCATAGCTGTACATATCGCCCGATGTTGACACCTCACTTCCCATGCCATACTCTAATAACATAACACCATAATTAGTTAAATTGAGGAAGAAAAAGTCTTATTTATGAATCATATTGTAGTGCTTGAAATGATACATGTTTTTTTTTTTTTTAATTGCTCTTTCTTCTTCGTTTACGCCATATATTATCACTTCAAAAACTTTTGGCACAGAGAATAGAAGACACACGCATAAATAAATATAATTTATAACATACTATTATAACACTACTTTCTTCTCAAATGTAATTGGAAGATTATGTTCTCGGTGGCATAAACATAGTGTCAATAATAATAATTTAGTGGGGGTTTAAAAATGTAAGAAATGGCAATCCCTTGAAATATTGACTCTTGGGAAGCACAAGACAAGTTGGAAGTGGTATAAACAGTGTGTTAATAATAATTTAGTCGAGCTTCAAAAAGTTATGACATTTCGTTGTGAATGCATAGAAAGAAAAAATATCTCAATCAGAATTTAAACGAAAAAATTATGACATTTTTAAGAATAGAAAAAATATTGTTCATTAACTTGAGTTCGAGTTTATGAACTCGAGTTGAAGGGGAAACTTGAATTCATGTTCAAACTCAAGTTTTACAAAAGAATATGAACTTGAATAAAGTTGTAACTCGAATTCAAATTTTTTTTGAATTTTGTTGTAAAAGAACAACCCCTCAATCTCTTGAAATATTGACTAATATTGGAAGTAAGAGACAAGTTGGAAGTGTTTAAGTGGCATAAAGATTAGGCAAATAATCATGTAGGCCCTATTCATTTCACTGATTCGAGTTTTACTATAGTAAAAAACTCTTAGAAACAATCACATCTAACTTTTTTATTACAGTAAAAAGTTCTCACATAAAATCACATCTTAACTTGAATCAGCGAACTAAACGGGTGCGTAGTGGTTTATAATGGTTAGAATCAATTTGTAATTCTGCAAAATATTGGCAACTATACATAAATTGCAGATAATAGGTTTTGTACAAGAAATGATAGACAAGGACGATAAATTTTTAGTTTAAATTTACCTGGAGCAGCATAGCCGACGGAACCTCTTAATCCAATAGAACTAGTTGGGTTTGATGAAAATGAAGGCCGGGAATCGTGTGGGAGAAATCTCGCTAATCCGAAATTTCCAACATGACTGGTCATGTCACTGTCCATAAGAATGTTGCGTGGCTTCAAGTCACAATGAGCTATTTTGATGTCGAAATGGTTGTGGATATAATCTAGAACATTTGCCACATCAATGGCAATGTTCAACCTTTGAAGGAGATTCAGATTTCCCTCTTCATGTAGCCACCTTTCTAAATTCCCATTAACCATGAACTCATACACTAGAGCTTCGAAAATGTTTCCTTGAAAGTCGATGCTCGAACACGCGGTTAAGAGTTTCACGAGATTCCGATGCTTAATTCCTTTTAAGACTACACATTCCGCTATGAAACTTTTTGAATACTTTTACGGCAACAACTGATTGATCATTCAGAATTCCCTTATACACAGATCCAAAACTGCCAAGACCAACTAAATTCGAAGAAGAAAAGCCATCAGTTGCTCTAAAAATATCGCCATATGATACTCGCAAGACTCGAATCCCAAAGGATAACGATCCCAAAGTTGAGTCACTTGTTCTTTTCTTTGACCAACAGACAAAAAATGAGAATCGACAACAAAATCAATCCAATAATTCCACAAGCAACTGAAATTAGCGCCTTCTGCGTAGCGAATAAATGATGCCTTTTGTTTTCGGTATCTTAGATGCATCTTGTCAATTCTAATTGAGCTATACCTCCAAAAAGCCTTGTATTTCCTGCCAAGGAAAATGCACTTACATTTCTGAAAACGAAATGCCAAGTTTAAATCTTGTAGAAAACGAAATGCCTCCAAGTATCTTGGAATTTTTCCAGACAAGTTGTTGCGAGAAAGATTGATCTCTTGAGTTCCTTTTAAAGAAGACAGAGACTTTGGAATTGTACCGTGAAACAAGTTGCCCTCTTAAGCACAAATACACCAAGCTTGTGCAACTACCAAGAGTATCAGGAATTTTGCCTGCTAAACTATTTTCAGGGTCTTCAATCTTCCTATTGTTTCCGGTATATGGCCACTTAGATGGTTTTCCTCCAAACCTAATGCCACCAAGTTGATGAGATTTCCAATCCCAGTTGGAATGCTTCCCGTTATTTGATTTCTTCCAAATGCCAAGAGATTGAGCTTTGTTGAGAAGTTGCTTATAGACACCGGCAGCACTCATCCTAAGTTGTTGCCGTCAATAGCCGCAACTTGTAGATTTGTGCAGTTTAGAAGAGAGTAGATAAAATCCAAGTCCCCCTCCTCGCCATAACCGAGATTGTTCTTATGAATTGTAAGCGTATACAAGTTGGACAAGCCTGCAAAACTCGGCACTTTGCCACTCAAGTTGTTAGTTGAAACTTGAATAAGCGATATAGTTTCGACGCATTAGAGATCGAAATAGGAATCCGTCCGGTGAAATGGTTAGAATGGAAATAAAGAGCTTCAAGATTTGGAAGAGTGTGACCCAAGTCAGGAGGCAGACTTCCTACAAGTTGGTTTGTGTGGACAGAGAATAATTGAATGGAAGATAAATTATATAGTGAGGAAGGGATAGTACCATTCAGGTTATTTAGGCCTAGTGCAAGATATGTCAAACCTTCTAACTGGCCAAGGCTATTTGGAATATTACCATGAAACTTATTTGATTCCATGGTGACCATCTCAAGAGAAGAAAGGTTCCCAAAGGAAGATGGTATTTTCCCAACAAAGTCGTTGAATCTTAAATTTAGTACTTGAAGTTTTGATAGATACCCCATACCGTTAGGAAGTTTGCCCGTGAGATTGTTACTTCCTAGTCCTAGGTACCATAGATTGGAGCAGAGAGATATGTTGACCGGAATTTCGCCACTCAAAGAGTTGTTCTGAAGCCGTAGTACTTGCAACCGGAACAAAGCACCAATTTGTGGAGGAATTTCACCCTCAAAACTATTGTTTTGGAGATTCAATGTCCTTAGAAAGCTCAAATTTCCGACATGGGGAGATATTTGGCCCTTTAGTTCACACGAGTCGAGGTCCAACATAGTAACTCTTCGGTGTCTTCGACCGCAAGTAATGGCTTGCCAGCGACAAAAATGGAGGGAATCATTCCAAGAATTGAGGATGCCTAGCGGATCATCACTTATTTTGCTCTTGAAGGCAAGTAAAGAGAGCTTGTCCGTCTCATTGCTGGGGCGGCCAAGTGCAAAGGAGATTGAACTTGAACTAGTCATCACCATGAAAATATGGACAACAAACAACCAAGACATGGTTAAATGAATCATATTGCGTAGGACAAGTTGAATTTGTTCAGGGGATAATTCTTAAGAGCATATACAAGTAGAGAAGCTGAGGAAAGTTGGTGTTTGAGTAAGACGGCAAGGAAACTTTAGAATATGGTTGTTAATATGTTGCTAGTCAGCTATGGTTTTTTTTTTTTTTTTTTTTTAGTATTGTTGACTTCTTATTGATAAATTTTGGAAAATAATGATTTAATTTTCCGCAAATTTAGTCCATTCACTATTTTTTAAATAATCAGTGCTCCAAACGCGAGAAGAAAAATATGTGCCGTCTTCAAATGCATGTGACGCGTGTAATGACGACTATACATGATTATTTCCTTGTTTTTAAAAAAAAAATGACTACAATTGGACAAAATTGAACTAATAATACTGTTTTTTAAATTAATAATAATAATTGAGACTTTTTTCGGTACACTAACATATCGATAGGTTAAGTTTTTTGTTCGTTAAATTTATATAAAATCACATAAAAATTAAAAAAATATACATATTTAACTGATAGAAAAATTTAACTCACCGATACATCAGTCGTACTATAAAATCTCTTATAATAATTATTTGTTTTGATTGTTTTATAGTTGTGAAGTTTCATTCGGTTCAGAGAAGCACCTGTGCTGGCACGTCTAGTCAGTAGTCACCACAGCAAGAGGCATTTTGCAACCACATTTGCCATCTTTGAAAGTATTAATTAAGTTTATGTTTGGTAGAGTGGAAAGGAAGGATAGATACTTATCTTTAATATTTAGTTTTGAATTTAAGATTATGTTTATGCCTTAGGGTTGTGTAGGATGTGGATAATTTTCTTTTATATTATAATTATTCTTGAATATTGAGATTTTAGATTTTCTCCTTTAGAGTTCTCCTAGTATCTCTAGAAATTTTTCGTTTTACTTCTCCTTTAACTGCTTTAATATCTAGTTATTTAATTACTCTATTGTCAAAAGCCTGAAAAAATAGGGTCTTTGTCTAAAGAAATGCTTTGAGAAATAACCTTTGTGCGTTTTCAACCCTCTCAAAAAAGAATATATTCCAAACTCACAATTCATGGATTCTTTAATAGAGGAAAGTCGAGGTAGAATTTTTTTTTTTTAGTTGGCTTAAATAAAAGAAGCCCCATGTTAGGTATTTTTATTAGTTGGCAATTTATTAGCGATCTTGTAAAAATTCAAAAAAAAAAAAAAAACAGGTTCAAAAAGATTTCGTATTGTAGAAGAAGATTCAGAATAAGATTTTAAGTTAAAGTTACAGATTTTGTTGAGTTGAGATTTAAAGAGATAAGGATAAAGGTTTGGTCAAAGGAAGATAAGATATTGGTTAAGATTTGGAGAGATAAGGATAAGACCCTACTCAAAGGAAGCTAAAGCATTGGTTATTTGAATTTAAATGGGATTCTAGCAAGATAATGTGGAAATTAAGTTGCTATTTTAAAGGAGTAATTCGGATTTGAAAAGTAGATGTATAATCCGAATATGCATTGGTTTGTTTCAAATTCGCCACTACGAGATATACTTCAAAGGCATCATCTTTGGATATATTTATATATATATATAGCTCGATTTGAATTTAAAAAGGTGCTGGACAATTCAAAGCCTTCAAAAGTGGTGAAACGTGAAGATAAAGTGATTGATGGACGAATTGTTTGAATTAGATTTTTTTCACTTTATTTAAAGGTTTTGTTTCTTAGCATATGGAAAGTACGGGTTTAATAGAATATTTTTAGAAAGAGTCTGTGAGTTTTTGTGAGCCTAGTACGCTATTGAGATCGTCCTTCGAGAGAGGGATTTGTTGCTTTCGGGAGGAAGCTCTGTCAGTCGAAAGGAGTTCGTCAGGTGAATAGAAGACGTGTGGTGCACACTAAACAATCACTATGGAGATTCATCACAGCAACGTCATTGTCTAGGAGGGAGTCCTTAAGTGAATAAGTCAGTCCGGTGTCTGTAATTTACTGTCTGGGCGTGGCCCCGCAGATGTAGGTGTGCGCACTGAACTGCGATATCATATTGTGTGTTCCTTTACTTTCTACACTTTATTTTGCTCGAGCAACTGAACGTAATTAACCCAAATCTAACAAGTGGTATCAGAGCGGTTCACTGACCATAAGTTCAATGAGATCTTGGAGAGTTGATCTGCTATGTTTGGAATGGATTTTCTAAAGGAATGAGGTTCAGTTGCATGTCCCCCTCTACTTGATGGTTCGAATTATTCCTACTGGAAGGCCCGGTGAAGGCTTTCATCAAGGCTCAAGATGAGAAGGCATGGCGTGCTGTTTTGAATGGCTGGAAACATCTAGTAACTAAATATGCAGAGGGAAAAGAGATTCTAAAACCCGAAGGCTCCTGGAATAGTGATGAAGACAAGTTAGCCATCTACAACTCTCGTGCTCTCAATACAATATTCAATGGAGTTGACATCAACCAGTTCAAGATGATATCTACATGTGAATCGGAAAAAGAAGCATGGGAGATTTTATAGATTGCTCATAAGGGAACCGCCGCCGTGAGACAATTCAAATTGAATATTCTCACAACCAGGTTTGAAAATCTTTGAATGCATGAAACTGAAACTATTTCTGAATTTAATTCACGGTTGTGTGATATAGCTAATGAATCATTTGTTCTTGGTGAAAAAATTCCTGGGGCAAAACTTGTCAGCAAGACGTTGAGATCATTACCACAGAGATTTGCCTACAAAGTGACTGCTATCGAAGAAGTGAAAAACACTGAGACTATGAGACTTGATGAATTAATGGGATCACTGAGGACATTTGAAATGAATCTGAGTCAAAATAAGAAGGAGAATGAGATTTCTCAGGCGATTGCTTTCCAAGCTGAAGTGGAAGATAATGTTGAAGAAGAAGATGAAGACTTAGCGGAGTCTCTTGCTTGATTGACTAAAAATTTCAACAAGGTGATGAAGAAGTTCAACGAGAAGAACTAAACTCTAACTTTCAACAACTCCAACAATTTTTAGAAAAATAAGGGAGCAACAAATTCCTCCAATGATAAGAAGAAGAATATGAGAATTCAATACCTGCAGTGCGACGGTTACGGTCACATTCAGTCTATGTGTGCTAACACTCTCAAGAAGAGGAAGAAGTCTCTCAACGTCACATGGAATGATGAGGATTCTGAAGGCAACCAGGAAGATGATGATCATGTGAACAACTATGTTGCGTTCAATGTCTATGAAGATGTTCCAAACTGTAGTGTTACAGATCGTGTCACAGCTCATGTTGCAACATCATCTGCAACACACTCTGGAAAACCAGAAGAAAGCGGAGATTTTTCAGATTCTGACGGCTCCAGCGATGGTGAAGAACTGACTGAGGAGACAATCCAAGAGGCATATGAAACAATGTTCAACAAATGGGTTTTGGTGGTTAAAATGAATAAGTCTTTGCGGGAACGAGTCAATGAGCTTATTAAAGAGAATGATGTACTTAAGAGGGCTGCTGTAAACTATGAATTTCGGGCTGCTGAAAAGGAGAAAAAGCTGCAGGAGATAAGAGTTGAATTGGAGCACACTTAAAATTCATTGAAGATGATGAATTCTGGCACTACAAAATTGGATCACATTCTCTCGATAGGAAAAATGAGTGGTGATTTACATGGCCTTGGCAATACTAGTGAGAGCTCAACGTCCAAAACAGTGTTTGTGAAGAAGATGTATGCCCCTAAGCCTCCAACTTCCTCCAGTAAGAAGGCTACTATCTCATTCCCTCGACATAAAAAGTTTATCCCCACATGCCATTACTGTAGTTTACCTGGCCACATAAGACCGAGATGCTATAAGTATTTAAATGCTTTAAAGAGAGGTATGTTTATTAATCCACCAAATTCTGCAAACTCAAAGAAGACACCTAACGTGAAGATTGATGTGAAAAATAATTTTTCTAGACGTGTGTGGATAAAGAAATCTGATTTGAGATGTCATAAAGCTTATACTTCTTTAGAAGCATGTACTAATGATTGTGGGTGTAGTGATGCGGTTGCACTAAGCGATTGACAGGTGTTAAGAGCATTATACATGGAAGAATGCTACATTCAGGGGGAGTAAGACACATAAAAGATTTAGGAAAAGTAAGCTACAGAGTTCAATGCCCTCGAAGATATCTAGTGCGAAGTGTTGCACCGAGTGTTCCAGCAAATGTTCCAACATAATCTGCGACATCAGCTGCTGAAGACGTGTCTAGGGTGTGATATATTTTTTTTTTTTTTGGTGTGTCTTTGGCTTATTTTTGTCAAAAAGGGGGAGAACAATGTAATTTTATATTGTTTTGTTGTTTTTGAATTTTTTAGGATCTCTTGTTAGTTTTGCCAAAAAATGCCAAAGGGGAAGATTGTTAGGTATTTTTATTAGTTGGCAATTTATTGGCAATCTTGTAAAAATTCAAAAAAAAAAAAAAACAGGTTCAAGAAGATTTTGTATTGCAGAAGAAGATTCAGAATAAGATTTTAAGTTAAAGTTGCAGATTTTATTGAGTTGAGATTTGAAGAGATAAGGATAAAGGCTTGGTCAAAAGAAGATAAGATATTAGTTGAGATTTGGAGAGATAACGATAAGACCCTGCTCAAAGGAAGATAAGGCATTGGTTATTTGAATTTAAATGGGATTCTAGCAAGATAATGTGGAGATTAAGTTGTTTCTAACTTTTTGTTTTCACTGGTTGAAACATATTATTATTATTATTATTATTATATATTTGGAGCATAAGAACAAAAGAGAAAATGATGACTCGGCAATGTCACAACGGGTTACTAAAACCATTGTTATAGTTTGCTCAAATTTTTGCGCGACATTTATAAGTACATGTTACTTTTTTCATTCATATTGGACGAGAATTCAAAGTTTAGAGAGTAAAATGAGAGTTTTTAAAATTTAAAATGTAAACTTAAAATGATTCTAAAATTTAAGAGTTATCAATGATAATAATCTTTTTTTTTTATGGCATTAATGCTGGCAAGCCCCCATTATCTATCAACGGTGCTTTTACGGAAACTACGTTCCCATACGATGTCCTAGACAAGGCTTCTTGGGATTGATTTTTGTGACTTTTAGTGGACGTTTGGGTCATAGATTCAGAATCATGATTCAGAACTATTTACATTTTACATGTATTTTTTGTAAGAGAAAAACACTATAGAGAATCATGAATCATGATGGAGAATTAAGAACGAATATAGGAAACAAACGTCCCCTTATATTTTTCTTGCATATATTCTCCTTATTTTATCACCCATCTTATTATTAAAACCAGAAAAAAAAAAAAAAAAAAAAAAGGCCAACAACATCATATGAATTAGAGAGCAAAGGGGCGACGAAGTCATATGCTAGCGCACAGAGCAGAAGTCACAGATGTACGTAAGCCCTCTATTTGTTTTGTATTAACTGTTTTATTTGATATTTCTATTTCTCTTATTTCCATATTTCCGTTTATATTGTTCATCTAAATATTATTATTTAGCCCGATAGATGTATAGTGAAGAATGTTTTATACAAATGTCGCATCATCTCTTAGATTCAAACTATGTGCATGAAATAGAAAAATATTTAAAAAAACCGGATAAAAATTATTGAAGTTTTACTTCATTATTATGATACGCTTACACTTATTTAAAAGCCTCAACATCACGGCAGTAGTTGAAGCGTAGCAAGCTTTAATTACCCCAAGTTTTCTAGTGACTTGGTAGTTTTATAAACATACATATATATATGTAGACGTAATATATTGCACGTAGCATGCAATATATAGTTTCTAATTATTCACCATGCGCCTTTGATAGCGAGAAGTTTCTCAAACGTCAGCATATGATCAGTAGTGCCGATGGAGTTGCATTGTTCAGGATTGCAGGTCTCAACCTCATATCTGCAAAAGCATATTGGTGGGATACTTTTTGTACAACTGCAAGGTTCTCCGCAAACTAAGGGGCATCCGCCTATCTTTCTGTCCGTACGATAACATCTTGTGGTTTTGGATTCTGTCTCGCACTTACAGGTAGAGCAGAATTTTTGTCCAAAACCTAAAATAACAAATATATAAGTATATCATTATCATTAGTATAAATGAGAGAAGCTGAAGTACATGTGTGAGTCGCGTATATATATATATAAATTTATATATATCAGTCTATATTTAGGCAACTTTCTGTTTCCACTGGTTAGGGAGTCAGCGAAGGAAAGTGGAGAGAGAGACGAGCGAGAGGCAAGAAAAATAGAGAGAGAGAGAGGCAGCGAAGGTGCAGAGAGAAAAAGGTCGTTACGTGGAGGAGAGAGAAAGGTTGAATATGGTTAGAAATTTTTCTTTCTTGTGTAGGTCTTACATGAGCGTTCTTTTTATATTCCTATTGATTAATAGGATTAATTGTCTAAAGTGAGTGGTTCACAGTGAGAAAACGCACTTCTGTAAGAGTTCTCTCGTCGTCAAAAACAGAGAGAGCTCTTTTGTGTGGGATTGATCGACTAATCCAATCAATCAATCTACCATTAAGCGGAAAGAGATGGAGTTAGAGAAGAAAATAGAATTTAGAGAGAGATTGATATGAGGGAAGAAATTAAGGTTTGTTATTTTTGGTCAAATTTAATTGAGGGTAAGTATGTAGTTATGATGGCTGACAAAATATATATATATATATATAGAGAGAGAGAGAGAGATATATATATATATATATATATAAATTGAACGGTTACAATTTAGACCAAAAGGCAAAAATAATCCTTCATTTTCTCTAAATATTTCGGTTTTCAGAAAAAAAAAAAATGAAAACTATACATACAACGAATACCAAAAAAAATTTAACGTACCTCCTTAAAACTTTTTGAATAATTATTAAGATAAAAAATTTTCAAAATAGCAATAGTTTAAAACTTGAGTGTATGATAAATTTTTCAAAATGGCAGAAATAAATTAGCGTATATCTTTGATAAATTCAACTTTTTTGCCACTTTGAGAGTAATTGATTTTTATCTCAATAGATTTTGTGGTTGCGGGTATAGTTTTATAGTAATTCTATTCCGACTTCGCCGCAAGATGAGTTTGAGTTCCAACATCCCCACTCTAAGTTAAAAATAAATAAATAAAATTAAAAGAGAAAGATCGGATTTTTTTTTTGGAAAATAGTCTTAATAATCTGATGTTGGACTAAATTATTGTGCGTAAAATTAAATGTGTTCCCTTTTTTGTTAGATAACACAAAAAAATAGATTGACAGTTGATTTTGATTAAAACACAAGCGTAAATTTTGTTTAATTAAAAAAAAAACACAAGGATACTCTGAATATTTTCAAAAGATATGGTGTATATTTATATATATATATATATGTATGTATTCTTACATATTGTTGATTAAAACCTCAATTAGACATGGTATAATTAAAGAAGTAGATATATAAGTACCTAGAGATTGAACATCATTAGAAACCCGGAAAAGGTTTCCCCGAGCATCAGCTATTGGAGCAACAAGCACAACAAACAGCAGCAACAACAAAACAGAAACTTTGATGAAGGCCATAATATTTTTTTTTTTTTCCTGACAATATTTATAGAAGATTGATATATGAAGTGATTGGGGGATGCAGAAACAAAGACTTTCTAGGACCTATAAATAGTTGCATATTGAGGACCGTCATATAAGATAAAATTATCATACAGATCCTATATTTCACTAGAGCAATAATATTACTCCGCAAAAAAAGCACGTACGTGCCCTCTTTTCTATTTGTTTTCTTCAATTGAGCTTTTTGTTTTTTTCCCCTTGCCCTTTACGTCTCTTTTACATACAGAACCTATGCTTCACGTCTCTTTTTTTCTATTTTAAAAGACATGGTACATGTATATACTATTTTATTATATTTAAAACATTATTACTCCGGATGAAAAGCATGTGCCCTTTTTACTATTTTTTTTTTTCTTCAATTGAGCTTTTATTTCCTTGCCTTTACGTCTCTTTTTCTTACAGACCCTATGCTTCACTAGATTAACATCAACCTAGGCACGTTGCGTTTGACTTTTATAATATATGTACACAAACGAGTGATGAGTCCAAATTTGGACCACTATTTTTAAAAAAAAAAAAATTTGTGTACACGAAAAGATCTACACGTTTGCATATATAGCAAAATAATTTTTTACTCGCCCTATGATGATTGTAAATATTATATATATAATTGTAGAGAATGCCTAAAAATAAACCAGAAATAAAAATTGAATATTACAAAGTCGTATGAATGAATTTGATATTAAAATATGAGAGTATGACCCTTAAAACATAGGTATAAAAATGATAAAAGCCACATCAACGTTTGTTTTTTTGGTTAGGACATATATAAAACATGCTCGCAGACAGATCATGACAGGTAGTACTATCAATGGTGCTCTGCATTTGTACTCTATACTTCCATTTCAAAGAAGAAAATAGTATGAAATCTTTGGTTGGATATATATCAGTAGAAGATAATTTTTGACAATCAATAGAATATAATTTTCAATTGTTAAATTTTATAATTAGGGTTTATTGCTTTTACATATTTTCTCATCTTGATCATGAAATTTTGACTAATTTGACATTAAAAACACATTATACTACTGAACCTAATCTAATCTAAGAAAGCTGAAACAAAAATAAGAGGAAAAAAGGGACGAAAATAGGCTTACATTTGATCTTATTACTTAAATTATTTAGAATTTATAGGAAATTTTTTGGAGTTTTTATACTTTTTAAATATTTTTTTTGTAAAAATGTAAAATTTCTAATTTCTAATTAAATAAATAGAATGATAGAATGCACATTTTACATTTTGAAAATCAACTTCAAATTATCGAAATAATATTTCTTTAGAAGTGAATGTACCATTTTTATATTATTAAAAACACATGCTACATTCATATAATGATTTAACCGTTACTTACCATGATTTAAATTGAAAATCTCTTTAACTATTCATTTTATAAACTCGTAATCCAAAATTTTGAGAATTCATTTCTTAAATCTTATTTAAAATCCCGAAACACGAAATAACTTTGGGTGAGTTAAAACGTAAGGAGTTGTACTAAAGTTCTAATATACACAATATAATTGCTTTCTTAAATTAGGTTCAGTACTAAAGTTCTAAAGAGACAATCAATCACATTATTCAAATCATACAAGTCATAGTGAATTGCGTGTTTTCTCATCTTGATTCTAAAATTTTGACTAATCAAAGGTTGAAAACACGTTATACTACTCAACCTAATCCATGAAAGATAAAACAGAAATAAAAGGAAAAAAGGGAGACAAATAGGCTTATTTACATGTTTCACATGTAAGAAAATTAGCTAGCTTTATAAATAATAGACAAATTAGAAATCTTACTATAACATTCAATTTTACGTGATCGCCACTTAAATATTTAATCTTTATATATACTTATCTTTAAGGAATCTTCATATATACTTATCATCAGGGCCTGCTCAAAGTGATTTAACACCTTAAATAAAATTGTATAAAGAGACTTTTTTTAAAAAAATTATATGCACTTTTATATTTAAAATATATTTTTTTTTAAACTGCAATATCATGATATATTTATAGATTGAATTCAGTAAATTATTTGACTAATGATCAATTTGATGTTTTCTATTATATTGTGGATTTTAAGTACCATCGTAGTTAATTCATTTTATTAATATCTTTTTTAACTATCATGATACTACTAGTTCATACGTTTCAACTACTAAACTTTCACTTTTAGTCGAATCTTTTTTATTGCTAGTTAGAAACTAATTGAGAACTCATCTCTAGGATTCAATAAAACCTTATGTTCTTAAGTTTTTTTTTTTATTCTATAAAATTCCTCGTATCCGGATTAGTATATTGATAAGTTATGTTGGACAAATAACCAAACTACTACCCAAACAAGACAATAGATAAAAATATGATATGAATCTCAAGACAAAATTAAGAATATTAAAACCAGTGCAAGATTATTCAAATATTGAATTGAAAACCTTCAACTTGTACTGTTGGAATGATTTTTTTTTTTTTAATTAGCGTTATAGAATGAATATTGAGATGGAAGCAATGGGAAATCAGGAATGAAAAAGTTGTATTGTTGGAGATTGTTTTTCTTTTGAGAGGAGAAAAAATCTGGGTGTTTATAGGAAAACAAGAAATATCAATATCTCAAGTGAAGAAAATTAAGTGGCAATAATACATAAAATTTAAGTTACAATAACTATTTCTTGGGATTATTCTCTATCTTGATTACAATCTTTTATTTCCCTACCACAATTAAAATTTAGAAGATTCACTGCAATACACTTAAGAAAACATACACAGTAAGGTTCTTTTCTAAAAAAAAAAATGAAAAAGAAACGAAAGACTCCAGCAAGATGGGGCCTTGGTTCATTGGGGGGGGGGGGGGCCGAAAATGGCCGGATTAGCAGGAGGAAGGGCGGCCCCACCCGGGGGTGGAGGAATGCAATGGGCTTAGTGGCCTTACCTTGACCCACCTCTGCTTATCTTAAATTACTTAGGGCCGTTTAGTTCGTTGATTCGAGTTGAGATATGATTTTATGTGAAAGTTTTTTACTGTAGTAAAAAAGTTAGATGTGACTGTTTGTGAGAGCTTTTTACTGTAACAAAACTCGAATCCTAAACTCGAATCAACGAAATGGATAGTATGTCTAGTTTTTGAAATATCGAGAATATCGAGCTTTTTACAGAAAAGTTTTTGAGTTTTTTAGGCTTTTAAAATACTTTTTGTAAAATTTTAAAATATCTAGTTTCTAATACATAAATAAATGAATAGAAGGAACTTTTATATTCCAAAAATCGGCTTTAAAGTATAAAAGAATGTTTCTTTAAGATATAATTTTAATACACATGGTACATTCAAGATGCATAATTTGCTATAAGAGAAAGTTCCAAAATGATTTTATTCATTATTTTTTCATAATTTGTATGGAAGATTGATTTCAATTAAAAAAAAAATGTTTGGAAGATTGATGTATGAAGTTGTGGGGTGGACGCGGAAACAAGGGCCTTTTAGGACCAATGCATAAATGGTTGCATATTGGGGACCATCATATCAGATAAAATTACCATAGAATATTTTCTATTTTGTTTTCTTCAATTGATTTTTTGTTTTTTCCTTCCCCTTCACGACTCTTTTTATTTTTTATTTTTTAACTTAACCGGATGAATATTAGGCACGCCAAAAATGTTTGACATTTACGTTTTGTCTTTTATAATGTGTACACAAAAGAGTGATAAGTCCAAATGTGGCATTTATATATGTTGGACCACTATTTTTTTTTTTTTTAATAATATGTGTACATTAAAAAGATCCACAAATTCTAGGGAAATATAACTTGTTTCATTCATGGAAATGTCAGCTAGCTATTCTGTACTTGTAAATAGTAATCCCATGGGTCAGTACACACCAATCCAAAATAAAACAGATTTTGTCCGCCTATGGGCTATGACTTCTTATATACAAAAGCCACATACAAAATAGGAAGAAAGAGGGAAATATGTAAGACTTGAGATGAATTAAAATTAATAGACCAATAATTTACATAAGTTAATAAATAAGCTAAATTACTATTTTCGTCCATAACTTGTCTGGTTATGAATCATAACTTGATAAATTATTTCCGGTTTTGTCCATAACTTATTTGGTTATGAACCATAACTTGACAAGTTTATCCATAACTTATCTGATTATGAACCATAACTTGACAAGTTATGGCCTATTAATTTCTATAACTAAAAATTGGCCTATATACTTTCTTAAGTTTTTCATATTAGTCTATTTCCTACTATTTCCCTACAAAATACACCCATTTGAGCACTTTGTGAGTACTTCCATATTTGCATATAGTCCAATCAAAATAAAATAATTAACCATTTTAAGCCAAGAAAAGCCTCTTCTCCTTCCTGGACTATTTGACCTGCCAAAATATCACATAATTTTTTTAAATTGTTTAGAATCAGCTTTTCTGTTTCTTTGGTCATATAGAAAACTGTAACCAGAAAATACAATGGCATTTGTTTATTTGATAACATTTTTTTTTTAAGAGAATTAACACAAAGATAAGTACTGACCTTTTTTGTTAGTTTTGCTCCCTAATAATATAGGGTTCCAAGTAGTGCTCCGCAACAAATGTGATGCCCTCTTTCAAACTCGCTTTCCTGTCTTCTTTAAAATTCCAAAGTTCCAGTACTACATTCCGACGACCCTTTGGATTATATTCGTTTGCCTCCATTAAGGCCATTGTAACCGCATGGTATACTTCTTCACCCATATCGTGTAATAATACTTTCAAGTTCTCATCATCGTTGTCAATGACTTCCTGTATTTGTAACAATGCGCAAAAAAGATTTTTGTAAGTGTTGAGGATCAAAAGGAAAGAAACAACCAATAAATTATGAGTGACGATATACAATTCTAGCGATTACATTTAGATTTAGTATTTTTTTTTTTTCTTAATTCTGAACTTAAAAACCAGCAACTTTGGTAGACTCAAAAAAGAGTAATAAAACGTGTCAGGGGCAGCTCACTAGAGTTCAATATTGAGCCCATTGATGAATATATATAAATGTTGTCAAACAGGTATACTGAGACAAGAATTTAACCCTTCATTATTATAAAGTATATAATTGGCACTTGCTAGAAAGGAGCAAACAAATTGTATAATTGGAAGCCATAGATAACTATAAGAAAATTATTGCCAACCATAAATACAAGGCTATACTAGTCTCCTATTGCCTTGTCCTGAAGATGAATAAAAAGACGCTTATGCAAATGCTCGTGAAATCATCATCATTATTCTAGAAAAGAGCCAAAGTCGCAAAAGGGAAGTCGGCAAAGCCATAGAATCAATCGAAGCATACCGTGAGTTTCTCGTCAGCCTTGACGACTTTGAAGGGATGCCAGGATGTATTCATAATATAATTCTCCCATAATGTGCACAATCTTGAGGCCCTAAAAAGCGCATCAGCACCTCTCCTTCCGACTCTCTCCATTTCTTTGTGGAACGGCGTAAAGTTGAGCTGCCCGAGTCTCTTAACACCAATATCCCCCATCACAACATCAGTCGATAACAAGGTCTCAAAAACCTATAAGATGAAACTAATTAGTACTCTGTAAACATTCATAGCCTGCAGTAGCAAAAAGGGAAAAGAAAGAAAAAAATTATTCAAAAAAAAAAAAGCATACATAAACAAGCAAAGAGTAAACGCAAAATAGGCTTAATCAAGCAAAGAAAAGTATTGTGAGTTGTGTGTTTCCTTCAAGTATCCCACCCTCAAAAAATTCCTTGAACCTAGAGGTCGATAGAAAACCATGTTTCATTCAATTTCCTTATTTCCCTCATATAGCCATGTAATCAAACGATTGGTTGAAATAAACAAGGACGCTAACTCCAACTACGAAGTTATCAATCAGTAAATAACTAAGTAAGAAAAACGAACTTGCATCGACTAATTTGTTGGGAGCTTCCTGCAGCTCAGCACTGCCCCCCGCTTCCTCGTCTTGAGCTTCAGTCGATGTTTCTCCATCTTTAAGTTCTTTGCGGCATCTTATCATCTGTTTCCTCATAGTCTTCATCTCTTTCCAGACCTGTAAGCAACATAAATATTAAGTCTCTAAAGTTTGAACCGAGCAATAACACACAGGCATCATCAATAACAGAGCTAAGTGCCTCATCAAGAAAGAAAAAACGATATTTACTGAGAAGTTAATGAATTCTGCGCATTTTACATCTCAGATCCGCAAATCAAGCAATAAAAGAACAAACTAATGCGCTAGTTCAATGTCACATATACAGCTCTATCAAAAAGTTGCTAATGCTATTAACAACCAAACTAATGATAAGTCCAGACCCTTGGTAAGACAGCTGCAGGAAGCTCCCAAAAAAAAGCATACATAAACAAGCAAAGAGTAAACGCAAAATAGGCTTAATCAAGCAAAGAAAAGTATTGTGAGTTGTGTGTTTCCTTCAAGTATCCCACCCTCAAAAAATTCCTTGAACCTAGAGGTCGATAGAAAACCATGTTTCATTCAATTTCCTTATTTCCCTCATATAGCCATGTAATCAAACGATTGGTTGAAATAAACAAGGACGCTAACTCCAACTACGAAGTTATCAATCAGTAAATAACTAAGTAAGAAAAACGAACTTGCATCGACTAATTTGTTGGGAGCTTCCTGCAGCTCAGCACTGCCCCCCGCTTCCTCGTCTTGAGCTTCAGTCGATGTTTCTCCATCTTTAAGTTCTTTGCGGCATCTTATCATCTGTTTCCTCATAGTCTTCATCTCTTTCCAGACCTGTAAGCAACATAAATATTAAGTCTCTAAAGTTTGAACCGAGCAATAACACACAGGCATCATCAATAACAGAGCTAAGTGCCTCATCAAGAAAGAAAAAACGATATTTACTGAGAAGTTAATGAATTCTGCGCATTTTACATCTCAGATCCGCAAATCAAGCAATAAAAGAACAAACTAATGCGCTAGTTCAATGTCACATATACAGCTCTATCAAAAAGTTGCTAATGCTATTAACAACCAAACTAATGATAAGTCCAGACCCTTGGTAAGACAGGTGTTTGTGAGAAGAGGGAAACGGCTGTAGGCTTTGGGGAAAGACAGGTGTCGCTAGGAAGGGGAAGGTGGCAAGTGTAGGTTGATTAATGAAATGTAACCAATCGGAGGAAACGATATTTACTGAGAAGTTAATGAATTCTGCGCATTTTACATCTCAGATCCGCAAATCAAGCAATAAAAGAACAAACTAATGCGCTAGTTCAATGTCACATATACAGCTCTATCAAAAAGTTGCTAATGCTATTAACAACCTTACTAACTATTGAATCGTTAGAAGTTTAACCAACTTCAGAAGACTATTTGTGCTTAACAAAACTTACCTTTTCCCTTTCATCAATTAACCGTGCTCATTCTCGTATTTGGCTACCATCTTCTCCAATTTATCAATCCTTTTCTGCTTCATCTCGTTGAGTTCGGCAATGTCATTCACCTTCTTGAATCCTGATTAACATATTGTAACAGAAAACATACGCTTAAAATGACACATATACACACCATAAGTGGTGTGTATAACATCTATTCTGTTCTTTACTATTTCCGGCAATAGGAATCCTAGGGTCTAACATTTTGGTATCAGAGCGAGATTCTGGGAAGGCGATGGCGGCCAGGAAGACGGAAGAGAGATTCGACACTGTCGAGAGGGAAATCAAGGAGATGCGAGAAGCGACGACGAAGGAGGTAGGCGAGGTTAAGGCTGAGATGATTCAGAGCCTGGCCGATTTCCGTCGAATATGGGAAGAATACGTCAAGAAAACGACCGAGAATGTACCGGCGCCGGAGAAGGCGAAGACAGTGGCGGTGGACGGCGAAGAAGCTACGAGTAACGCCGGAGCAGCGGTGGAGCATCGTCCGAAAGTCGCAATGGGAACTAGCGGGCCGATTCGCGTAGCGGATCGAAGGGGGGCCGCGAGAATTTGGTCGGGAGTTCGCGAGGGAAGAAAATTCGAGGTACGGCGGAGATCGAGAGGTACCGATGGGGAATCGGAGGGGGGAAACCTCTGGGTACAGGGGCAACTGGTGTGGCGCTACTGGAGAAGAGGGGATTCGAAGGAACGGCGGTGGTTGGGGCGGGTGGAACTGTGCTCGCGGGAACGGCGGAGAGACGTGGCGAGGGGGTACGAGAGAGGAACCCCGACGAGATGTTCCTAGGGCTGGTTTTCAGCACGGGGAAGGGGGAAATAGAGAGGAAAGAAGGAACGTGGGACTACGGGAAGAAGACATGGAGGATGAGGAATGGGTGGCTAACCGCCGACGGCACGTTGAATGCCCGATTTTCAGTGGAGACGACCCAGATGGCTGGGTGTTCAGAATGGAGTAGTTCTTTGCAATTAACCGTTGCTCAGAGAGGGAGAAGTTGATCACGGCAGGGATAGCTTTAGAGAGTGAAGCCCTGTCATGGTTTCAATGGCAGAATGGAAGGAGACCGTTTTTCAACTGGACGGAATTCAAGATGGCTTTGTTGCAGCGTTTCCGTTCGTCGCAGGAAGGGAGTTTGTGCGAAAAATTCTTGGCAATTAGGCAAGATGGCACGGTGGCCGATTACCGCCGGAGGTTTGAGATTACGGCAGCCCCACTGAAGGACGTACCCGAGGAAATCTTGGAGGGAATCTTCATCAATGGGCTCAGGGCCGAAGTACGGGCTGAATTGAGATTGTTGAAACCATCGGGGTTAGGGGAGATTATGGAAATTGCACAACGTATAGAGGAAAAAAATGAATTGCTTCGTAAGGAGGTCACAGGGATGAAGTGGTCACGGGGACCTCAGTTTGGGGGGGGACGAGGGGAATTCTCTTCTCTGGTTTCAAAGAACAGTACGGGCGCGGTTATCCGTACCCCTCTGGTGACAGAAAAAATCGTACCTCCAAAGAAGGATTTTCCTTTCCGGAAATTATCCGATTCAGAATGGCAAGAGAAGAGGGAGAAAGGCCTGTGTTTTCGCTGTGACGAGAAGTTCACCATGGGGCATAGGTGCAAGAAGAAGGAGTTACGGGTAATGCTGGTCAGTGATGAAGATGAAGATGAGGGGGGGGAGCTAGAACAGGAATTTCAAGGGCAGGGCCTGGAGGACGTACAACAGGAAGTTATCAAACTTTCTTTGAACTCGGTAGTGGGACTGTCGACTCCGAAAACGATAAAGCTGCGAGGGGTCATTGCTCAACGTGAGGTAATAGTTTTGATTGACTCCGGTGCTTCGCATAATTTCATTTCATTGGATACAGTAAAAAAATTAGCTATTCCGGTGGTTCCCACTACTGGGTTCGGTGTTCAAGTGGGAACGGGAGAGTCGGTCCGGGGAAAGGGGCTGTGTAGGGAGGTGGTTTTGACCCTTCCAAATTTAACCATTGTGGAAAATTTTTTGCCGCTGGAATTAGGAGGAGTAGACGTGATCTTAGGTATGCAGTGGCTGGAAACTTTGGGTGGAATGCACGTTAATTGGAAGTCCCAAATTATGAAATTTAGGGTAGGAGGAGAGGGAGTGACCTTAAAAGGGGATATGAGCCTTTCTAGAGCGATGGTCTCTCTTAAGGCAATGTTCCGCACTTTGAGGCACGAGGGCCAAGGGGTCTATGTGGAGTTAAGCACACTAAGGGTGGACTCTGGCGTGGAAAACCCACTTCCGGAATCGGTGCAACATTTGTTGCAACGACATTCGAAGGTTTTACGTATGCCAGAAGGATTACCTCCTTGCCGATTGCGTGATCACCGCATTATTCTCCAGGAAGGGGCAGGGCCGATTAGTGTCCGTCCATACAAATACCCCTATTTCCAAAAGAATGAGATAGAAAGGTTGGTTAAGGAGATGCTCGCAGCCGGAATAATTCAGCCAAGTACAAGTCCTTTCTCTAGTCCGGTGCTCTTAGTTAAAAAGAAAGATGGGAGTTGGCATTTTTATATTGATTATCGAGCACTCAACAAAGCTACGGTGCCGGACAAATTTCCCATACCGGTAATTGAGGAACTTTTGGACGAGTTGGGCGGGGCAACAATTTTTTCCAAATTGGATCTCAAGGCCGGGTATCACCAAATAAGGATGGAGGAAGCGGATATCCCAAAAACGGCATTTCGGACACATGAGGGACACTATGAATTTTTAGTAATGCCATTCGGCCTCACTAATGCCCCTGCCACGTTTCAATCCTTGATGAATGAGGTATTGAAACCCTTCTTGAGGAAATTTGTATTGGTATTTTTTGACGACATTCTGATTTACAGCGCTTCTTTCAAGGAGCATTTGAGGCACTTGGATGTGGTCCTGGCTACTTTAGTGGAGCAGCAGCTGTATGTCAATCAGAAGAAGTGTACGTTCGCCCAAAATCGAGTGGAGTATCTTGGTCATTATATCTCGGGGGAGGGGGTGTCAGCCGACCCTACCAAGATCTCGGCTATGGTGGATTGGCCCACTCCTCGTTCTATCAAGGAGCTGAGAGGATTTCTAGGGCTTACAGGATATTATAGACGATTTGTGGCTGGATATGGGCACATGGCCTGGCCGTTAACTCAACAGTTGAAGAAGGACAATTTCAAATGGAATTCTTCGGCGGAGGAAGCTTTCAAAAGTCTAAAAACGGCCATGACAATGGTGCCGGTCCTCGCCTTGCCTAATTTTTCTCTACCGTTTGTACTGGAATCCGATGCCTCTGGTTTTGGTATTGGGGCGGTTTTGATGCAGCAACAGCAACCGATTGCTTACTTCAGCCAGGTGTTGTCGGCTCGAGCTCAAGCAAAGTCCGTGTACGAGCGGGAGTTGATGGCAGTAGTTCTTGCCACTCAAAAATGGCGTCATTACTTGCTTGGAAGACACTTTATCGTGCGGACTGACCAAAAAAGTCTGAAATTTCTTTTAGACCAACGTTTGGTAAGCGAGGAACACCAACATTGGCTGTGCAAGCTTTTGGGGTACGATTTCAAAATACAATATAAACCTGGCGTAGAGAACCGAATGGCAGATGCTTTGTCTCGGAGGCCTGCGGATTTGGTGCTCATGCGCCTGAGTTCCACGGCCGTTTTCGATTGGGACTCAATCCGTCAACAAGTGCTAAGGGACCCCAAGCTCATGGACATTCGGGCTCAGTTGGAGAAGGATCCGCAGGCTGTGAAAGGGTATACCTTGGTAAATGGGCTGTTACTCTATAGGAACCGGGTGGTGGTCCCTCCTAAATCTCCGCTCATTTCGGTATTACTCAAAGAGTTTCACGGCAGCAAGGTGGGGGGCCACTTTGGGGTTCTAAAGACTTATAAGCGGCTGGCCTCAGAATTTTTTTGGACAGGGATGC